TCAGGAAGACAAAGCCGCATCAATGGCGTGCCACTTTGACACCCCGACGTCGTCGTGCGCGTAATGCCTGCCAGGGATCACGTGACGTCGACGTCTCCGGCGGCGCCTGTCATAGAAGGAGGGAACGCACATATACGATCCCCGGAGACGACAGCACAGGTACGGGTACGGGCAGTCCTCGGGCACCGAGCACACGTTGAAGAAGAAGCCGCCGCTGTTGTACGGAGGGCAGAAGCGAGGCCGAGCTACGAATGGTAGGCAAGAGATAGAGTGGTCGGTATACTCTAAGTAGAATTTACGGCTGGCCTAGTTGGTAATACTTCTTTTAACTGAATAAGGGCGCGCACACAGACGCGGACACTAGAGCAAAAAAAAAAAATGCACGCAGCATAAGCGTTACTCGCAACTAAAGTTTATTCGAAAAAAAAAGGTAGGTACACATATATCACCTCTGTCACATGACCTGACAAGTGAAACAGCAAAAACATAAATGGGCTATAAAAACACGTGCCTGAGAGCAAAGCCTCAGTGCTGATGAGGTATGAAAATTCAGTTAAAAGATGAACCAATACCAACAAGCCCAATTATCTGTGCTACTGCAATACATTTGTAATACTTGTATAACGTCATGAAAATAGTGGAAATCATGGCACGGACAAGGGGAGAATAAGGAATAAACTATGTCAGCTATGTGGTATGACCCAAAATCTCATCTTGTTCGTGTCGAAATGGGTGATTTTTAAAGATTTTCGAGTTTTTAAAGCAAGGGGGAAGGAGCTAAGCAGCTAAGGAGCAAGGACACACACACACACACACGAACACGAACACGCCCACGCACGCACGCACGCACGCACGCACGCACGCACACACACACACACACACACACACACACACACACACACACACACACACACACACACACACACACACACACACACGCACGCACGCACACACACACACACGGGCCACGCCACAGCAAGCCAAAAACCTATATTATACTAGCCTGGCATCTTGTTTTCTAATGTGTTGCCATTTTTAAGTTCGCCGTACACAACCATTTCTCATGTTTGTTAGGCCTCACTCCCTAGTCCCCGTGACTTCTTATGTCCCAGCGCAACACCATCCGCTCACACACTGCCCACAAAGTTCCCCAGTCGCCACCACGCCCAGGGGGCGCCACATACTCCCCCATCACTGCCGATATGGGTCTCCTCACACATTGAATCAAGAATGTATGAAACCAATACTGTTGTTATGGTAACGGGGAGAAAATATAAAAAAAAAGAATTGGGTGCTGTTTCGCTAGCTCCGACTGACGTTAGGCACAGCAGCTTCCATGTGAGCTAGGCCCAATGCTAGCGGGACAACAAGCCCCAACTGATAGGTGGTTGGCACTTTGTCTAGCTGTCATTGGACAGCCTTTTCCCGGCTACCTTTTTTCTCCGTAAATGTTTTTGGTGACAATAATGTTATTTGATTGATTGATCGATTTATCAAAATCCGGAACCTAAAGAGGATGGCAGTCGTTAAAAAATATGTGCATGTCTAGTCCCATTGCACTGCTTTTTTTGTCGTATACTTACGCCTTACGGGTATCTTATTGATGGGACACGGCTTGGCCTGCTTGATGCAGCTGTCGCCCCTGCTGAGACCATAGACGCAGCACTCGTTGGGAAGGCAGTCCTCGTGAGACGAGCATGGCCGGAAGGTGCCCTCGTACACCTGCGTGCCGCCGACCACAAGGCCAAGGCTGCGTGTTGTTTCATTTACCCTGTTAAGGCGAAACCCTTAGATGACCGATCGAACGCGAACCGTACAAGCCTGGTCACGCATATTTGCTGCAGCGTGTCAGCGTGTAGCTTACTGACGTGGCATCTCCCCCTTCTCCCAAAGGAGAGAGAAGGCGCGCGCCTTCGCGTAGCCACGCGCCTTCTCTCTTAATTAGGAGAGGGCACAGTGCCCGGTAAAACAGCCTCGCGATGACGTGCTGCAACGCATAGTTTCCTAATATTAACTAGAGGGGACTCTGTTGCTGCGATCGTTCAGCGACCATGGGAATGATGGCTAGTACACACATCTGCCTAGTCTTCGTACTTGCGGGTGGCGAATCGTAGTTGCGGCTTCGTTTATTGCTGTGTTTCGATTTTGTTTCGAAGGAAAGAACAAACCCTGTCGAACTTCGTGACCCGATTTGGAAAGGCAAGTCTAAAAGAATAAGGTGGTGAAGCGCAACCACTGAACATTTGCCGAGTTTCGTTTCGTGAGAAAACAGCTCCAAGCCACACGAACACACACGGAGCCAAAAGCAGGCCAGAAGTACGAAGATTAGACAAATGTGTGTACTACCCATCATTCCCGTGCTCGCTGAAGCGCCGTGCGTTGCAGCTCCCATAGACACTAGCGCCAGAGTTCCCCCTAGTGTGAATTAGGAAACTCTATGCTGCAACGAGTTACGTGTGGTCAGGCCTTAGCGTCCCGCGTCGGCGGCGTCTGTGGTCCCACAGCGTCGGGGACGAGTGAGCTTAGAGATTCGTACAGCACATTCGTTCATTTGAGATGGCCCTGTTGCTTCCAGTGAAAAAGAAAGACGCCCACTTCATGAATGGTGCTCAGCGTTTTGAGCGTGACGTAAGGCTTGGTTTCGCATTTCAGCTACCTTAATCACTATGTGTTCAGTTTCTCGATATCTGACGGATTGCCTGTGAAGGTTAGTAATAATATTATGCGGGGTTGTACGTCTCGAAACCACAATATGATTATGCGAGACACTGTTGTGGAGGGCTCCGGAAATTTCCACTACCTGGTGTTCTTTAACGCCCACTGACGACGCGGAGTACATGGACCTCAACCATTCTGCCGCCATCGAAATGCGACCTCCGCTGCCGGAATCGAACCCACGACCTTCGAATCAGTAGCCGAGAGCACGCCTAGCCACTCATCTACCGAGGCGGATGCACATGAAGGTTTCGTATTTATTTATTTATAAAAACTACAGCCCCCAGTCGGGACTTTGGTAGGGTGAGATGATGAACAATGCATGATCTGATACAACGAAATGTGTGAAACAAGTGGTTGGCATAACCGAGTCACATAATTCGCATGACCTAGAACAAAAAGTGACTTAACAACAAAGGAAACACGCTTACACATGTGAACATATACGACGTAAATACATTTATAGCAATCCTCAATGCAATTACGTGGACCTAAGATCGAAATGCAGAGGTACGTAAATAAAATAACAACAATGAAATAAAACAATACATGCATACGCGCTTCAAGAATAAATCTGCCCTCGTACTAAGTACGCGTGTAAACGTACGAACTAAATTTAAACGAGAACCACAGTCATAAACACAGGCTGGAAGTAAAAGTTGCCAGGGAAGACTGCAACACTTGCTCATTTGTTAATAAATTTCAGTCAATCACCGTTCTGGGGAAAAAAGAATGTTTAAATGCATTATTTCGCGTTTTGTGTGGTGTCAGCCTTACTGGAGATACCGTCTGATATAAAATATAAAAAGTAGTATTCAGCTGTACGAGTCAAACCATTCCGAGATTATGACAACGCATAATGCCACGTACTGGCCGCGCTCTCAGAAAGTCCCTGCGCTCACCAGGCGATGTGCTGCCTTCTGTTCCATGTGTTCCACCTACGAAGGGATGGCTTCGCCGCTGGACTGTTGGCCTCGATTGGCGGAAATTTGACCAGAAAATCAAATACCTCGAACCAGACTAGTCGCAATCCCCTGAACACCAAAACAGTGCCACTCGCGGTTCTACCGTACCTTCATCACTTCTCCCACCGCCTCAAGAAAGTGGCTGAGAAGTGCGGCATTGCGGTTGCTTTTTTGGTTATCTGGCAAACTTGCACCCATGTTCAGTTGTGTGAATGGGACTGTCAAGGTTGCCCGCACAAGAGAGCACGCCTCAAGTTTCATTGAATGCAGAGTGGGTGTGGTGCTACCCACTTACCTGGGGAATGTGCTATGGCGGCCAAATTGTGCGCTGTATTGATGAACGGCTGAGAGAGCATCGCGCCGCAGTGAATTCAGTGGCGGAGGTTCTTGGCACATCACTGTCGCAGGTGTTCTCGCACGCCAGGCTTCAGGGGAATCCGTACCTTGCACAACACTGTTGCTCAGCAAGCTCGCGTAATCTATGAGGCGTATACAGCATCGGCATCGAAGCCGATGAATGCGTGACTTGACTTTTTCTATCACGTGCAAAACCGCATGATAGAAACAGTGCATCTGAAGTGACTTTGCAGGTATAAAACGCAACATTTATATTTAGGTGGAAACGCTTCATATTGTGAACCAGTAATTAAGAGTATTCCCGTAACCTCCATTTTTAAAGTGGGTTTCTGCATTTTCAATCAATTTAATATAAAAAAGATTGGTTACTAGATAACTTATATTTACGTAAACAAACTTCTAAAAATATGCTGCTCTATATATAGTGAACATTACCGTGTTTTGGTTTAGGTGTCTGCCGTATACTTACGGGAGTTCTAGCTCCACCATTGAATGGCTTGTACGGAGGTAGCGGCTGCGCAACGAAAAAGAAATATATAAAAGTTTATCAGAAACATCAGCATGAGACAAGTCACCAGCTTCTTTACGGTATCCCCTAATGCGAATTCCGAACTCAGTTGTTTAAGTGTTCTAATATTGTGATCAGTTTAGGCAAATGCTTCTGCTTCGGCAATGCCCATTTACTAATTCTTGTGCCGGTGTCACGCAGGTCCCGTTAATTAGGGAGGCGATCGCCGGGCTAATTCCAAGGGCCGAAGTATCGGCCCCCCGAACCGCACCACGAAAGCGTGGACAATTTAGAAGTGGTCCTTTTTGGCGCGCCAGCGGACGCCGGCTGTGGCCCAAAGAACAAGTCAGAGCCGAGAGTTGATAAACAAACAAAATTATATTCTCAATAATTGCAGATCCAAGACAATACACACGTATGCACACTCCACAATAGTTGAGTACAATATGTCACCAATCACCCAACGTACTACACAGTACAATCAGCCACACTCAAAACAACGGACACAGACAACAATTCACACTACAATGCAGTCGCATGCATTTAACAACCAAGACACTTAAAGACTAAAGAGATAGAAAACCTATTCAGCCCAAAGTCCTTGGAACAAAAGTCTGGATGATACTCTTCCGAGAATCACTCACTCAAAGTCCAGCGTTGTTGCCGTTCCGCTGCCCTGAAGTTTCTCTTCCAGGAAACCTCGCGTCTTCAATTGGCCACTCTCCAAGCTTCAAACTTCTTCGCCGGAAACACGTCGGCTTCAAACACGCAGCTGTTGCCACGCGTCTTCGCTCGATAGCGGTAAACTCACGCTCTTGCCTGTAGCTCGAGCCTTCACCCCTCAGGTGGAAATCCTCTTCTTCTCCTGCTTTGTCGCTACGGACAAAACCTTCGCCGACTACACGGCGGAATCCCTACGCGCACTGGCGCTAACTTCCGTCTTCTCCTGCTCTCTCGTCTCGGCTGCTCGATTAAACACCTTCCGCGCGAGATTCCAGAAGGTTCTCGTCATTTCGTCGGCGCGATACGCAGCGAAGGCTGGGGAGAGGGCGAGACGGTTGGAATGCCCTCCGCGATGGATGACTCAACCCGGCGTGACCACGCCTCCTTTGTTCTAGAAATTTCGCGGGCTTGCTCGGCCACCGTTGTGGGGTGAGGAGGTTCGTCGGCAAAGCCACGCTTCCGAGGGGAGAGCGCGCGCCCGGGGAGCCTTGGATGTTTGTTTTCTTCTTTTTTTTTTCCTTTTGACCTCACGGCGTCTCTTTCGCGCGTTATCGCAAGAATTTGGTGGCGCGCCCATCTTTAGCGCTCGTTCTGTGACAGCCGGCAGCGCGGAGCCTCCACTCGGGCAGCTCGTTTATCAGAAGCGGCAGACGACGCATTTCCTCCGATTTCGTCACAATTACTTCAAAGAACTGTCTCAGACTGTTTTGCAGATAAATAAACAGTTTACATTTAGAAGAGAACACTGCGGGTAGTGTGACTGGCGAGGGCAATTTTCGTGCAGCTTATTTCACATCAACCGCCTCAGAAGGAGCGTAGCGCGACTGTCTCGCAAAGTGGGAGACCGTGATTGGCAGCACATGCGTGCGTTCCACAACAGTCAGTCGGTGGTTCTTGAAGCAAACGAAAAATGAGCTGATTTCTGTATGCCTAATCTGACGACACGGCTAAGCTCAATGTAGGGGAAGGGGATAAAGGGAATAGTATAAAGATAAAGAAGAGAGAGCACTTGCCGCACAGAAGCGACAAAAAGAAAAGTGAGGGAAGAGATAGGAAATATGGGGGACACGGTCCAAGGTGTTTGAGGACGGGACACCGATCAGCGAGAGCTACGTGGCGCCAGGAGATCGCAGACGGTGCGCCGATCGGCGAGAGCTGCGCTGGCGCCGGAGTTCGTGATCGACACAATCGTTCAGCTTGAAATCCACTGAGCGAGTCCCACAGCAGCTGACGCAAAATGGTTCACACTACTGTGTTCCAGTATAAAAATTGTGCATTCTTTCTATGACAAAATATTAACAATGTCTTGCTCTCACAGCCACCACGGATGATGACCAAAACGCGATCGTCACAGAAACCACAGTTTCTTACTCATTCCCCTAAAACGACTAAATGTCGAAGGCCACCTTTTTGTTCTTCTCATTTTCTTGCGTTCATGCTCTCTCCACCCAACTAGGCTGATGATTGTTATGTAGGTTTTAACGTCCCACACACATGATCCAACGCATCACCAATCGCAGGAGAGGCCTCTGTGAGAGGGATGTCCTCCGCTTAGTACAAGCACTCATAGTTAGCCGGCTCACCTATCATCTTCCCTTTCACCATCT